TGTTAGGTAAGTATGTCTTTTCCCCTTCTTTCTTTCAGTATATTTTTTATAGTTTTAGGTTGCAAGTTTCAGGGTTTCATTTATGGGCTCTTGGTATGAGATTTTTAGATTTTAAAGTAGGGGAGAGAGTCAGAAAAAAGGTGACAAAGGCATTTCAGACAGGAGAAGCAGTTTCACTTGACTTCTGGGCTACTTGGACATTTGTTAGAGCGTTTGCTGAATGCTGTCCAAGGAGATTGTCTCCAAGCCAGCTTTTTCACACATCTACAAAGGTGATTAATCTTTATAAAATTTCTGAGGAGTTGAGGCGTAAAGTCTTAGAGCAAGTTTGCAGATTTTTTTATTCAGAGTTTCCTCCTCCTTACCCGGTTCCTGGCATTCAGAGTTCAGGGAGAAAGCAGACACAGACGACTAACTTTAAATTCTGGTGGAGAAAATCAGACCTAGATGTTGAAAATGGACAATCCTTTTAAAAATGTTTTCTGCCTGATGTCTCTCGCTTGTTGCTTCAAACTGATGTAGATAGGATAAAAATGTGAGAAGCTGACTCTGGGCAGAAACTGGTCCTTTCTGTTCAGACTCATGCTAGTTCTCACGAGCTTCTGTTCTCAAAAATTTTCCAGGTTCAGACTGACCCTCTGACCCTGTGAAAGGCACTGAGAACAGCCTGCATGTTTACTAAAACATGCCTGCCTTGGCATGCAGGATTTATCTGACTAAAAAGGCTTCCACCTCACGGTCAAACCTAGTGAGAGTAGATTAATCGGGAAACAAAGAGTAGGTTAATCAGGAAACAAAGGCAGTAGTGAGGGCTGTACTTGGAAACTGACGGGGCTGTCCACAGCAATGCTTAGGGACGTACAACTGGTGTGCCCACGCGATGTCGACACTGTGCATTTTGCAGATCTGTGTTGGGTGCCATTCCCAACATGTTTGTTTCAATTTGGTTTGATGGTACCATTTAGCAAATTTCCCTCAATTGTGTTTTGGGCCTGGTAGGGCTTTGTCTTTGAAAGATGACATTTTTGGAACTTTCCTTTGTCTTTCTGTGTTCTTTCCTGACAGCACAGGTCGGTGGCTCAGGTATGAGAGGTGGCATCCTGAGCACTCTAAACAAGTAACTTGTGGTAGGAGTTGCTTGTGAGGAGTACTCTAAACAGGTGGCTTGTGGCAGAAGCTGCTTGTGATGAGTCTAGGGGCTCTACAGGTAGCTCGTGGCAGGAGCTACAGGTAGTAATGAACGGGTGATTCATGGCAGGAGTCACTCGTGATGAGCTCTTGAACCTATTTTACTCCTTTCTTGGTTCCAATATTTTGCAAAAGACGTCAATAAATATTGTGCACACTTTAAAAATTAAAATTAGGCTACTGATATCAGTTACAAATTTTTCTTTGACTTGTTTGTCTCACTTCACCTGTTACGTTTGTGTCTCCATGGTTACCTGTTGTCACCTTATTGTTCCATGGATGTGTTTTATGTTACCTTGACTACCTCTTGTGCGTGTTGGTGTGTTACCCTTGGCTACTTGTTCCCAGATGAATCTGGACTTGGGGAGTGTTCTCTCTCTCTCTCCTTTCTTTTGTTCGTTGTATGCTACCTTGGACCCCTGCTTGGTACATGCATACCTCTTTTGCTTAACAGGACTGTCTGTCTTCAGACCTTGGAGGACGAGCAAGAAGACACCTCCGCCTTTGCTGAAAACTTTTAATTAACTTTTGCCTTTTCTTAACTTTTCCGTTTAGGGTATTTTTCTTGTAGGTTGATACTCTTCTTTTTTCCCCGGAATATGAGACGGCTCAAGCATGTACTTCAGGAACAAGGTGTGATATTCAGTTCGCAAGAAATGAATGACTTTGTGGACGTGTTTGAGCAAGTTTGTCCTTGGTTTCCTGAACGGGGTCTCTGGACACTGGATGTGTGGCAAAAAGTGGGTGCAGAGTTACAGGTGTATTATACTAAGCAAGGGCCGTTACAGGTAACAGAGGAGACTTTCATGCTCTGGACCCTCATTCGAGAGTGCTTGAGGTCTGGGCCAGAGAAGGAAAAACTTGCTAAACATGGTGTGTTAACTTGTCCTAATCAGTCTTCTGCGGGCTATAAACTAGAGGTGTCCCGGGGGTTGTTTGATACCTTGCAAGACCACTCTGAGGAGACCTCTGAGTCCTCTACAGAGGCTTCTGCCTTACAGTTACAAACTAAGTTGTCTTCCTCCATGGTACAAATGCAGCCTGAAAAGGACACCCAGATACAGCCTACACCTACTCACACTCAGGTTTTTGTGCCTTCTCGGATGATGCATGGCAACTATGTTGCTATACCTATGGTATATAATCCTTCTGTCTCTTGTTCATCATCTTTAATGTCTCCATTACAACAGATCATGCAGCAGGCAACTGATGCTGGAGAGGATATATCGGGCTTTATATCAGTTATGGAGCATAATGACAGTCAGGGTAATAGTGATACTCTGTTTCAGTTCAAGTCCTTACAAGCATTTAAATCTGCTTGTATACAGCATGGCCCTACAGCTCCTTTTACTGGGGCTGTATTAGATTCCATGCCTACTGAACTGTTGCCTCCTAATGACTGTAAATCACTGGCCAGAGCTTGCCTGTCTATGGAAGAATATTTTGTATGGAGGTCACATTTTAGTAAATTCTGTCTGGCTACTGCAGACCTAAATAAAACTCTACATATTCCTGTTACTTTTGAAATGCTTGCAGGTGAAGGCAGGTATAAGGAGACAGCGCAGCAGCTAAATTTCCCTAATGCCGTTTATGCTCAAGCTAATGTCGCAGCAAAAAAGGCCTGAAATGAGTTGCCCACTACTGGACAGCAGACTGAGGACCTGGCTAAGATCAAACAGGGTCCTAATGAGTTATATCAGGACTTTGTGTCTAAGCTTCTTGTCATCTGCAAGGCTAATATATGCCTTGTAAAACGTTTGGCTTATAAAAATACAAATGTTACCTGTCAGGCTGTTCTGAGAGCATACAAAAAGAAACTTTGTCTGATATAATCAGACGTTGTTCTAACATTGGCCCAGTTTGTGACATGTTTCAACAACAGTCAAAGAAACAATGTTGTCAGTGTGGCAAACCATATGGGCCTTCTCAAAAGACAAAGTAAACGTGCTCCAAGTAACATCAGAAGGGTCTCCATGATGCTCCTTTTAAGTTGGTTACATGATTTTCTCTTTTCAGTTTATTAAACCTATAGTTAAGGTCACTTTTGTGTTTACAGAAACCTCTTTATTAATAAGTAGTATGCCTCAGAAAAGTAGCAACATTGTAGTCATGTTAATGTCTCCATGGCTACAACATTGTTGCTTCCTTGAGGTATATTTCCATGAGTTAAGTTTGTTGTCAGTTGCCTTAGTTACTTCCTTTGTGTTATACAGAGTTCATCTTTTACGCACAGGTATCATTGATTAACTTCCACTTCTGGTAATCACACCTTGGAGTATGCCTTCATTTTCCTATTACTTTTACAGCTTGAAATGTTAAGACAAAGACTATTTATAGTAAGATTGAGTTATCTTGGTCTTATAATTTATAGATTTTTCACCTTTTCTGCTCAGTTTGCCTTTTGTCTTTAGGACTTCTACCACTACCTTTTACTTTGCTTTTAGGTTTTATGGGCTGTATTGCTCTGTTTTCAGACTCCACTGATTCTGCTATCATCTACAACCATGTCTTCCTCCCATAAAGGAAACCTGTTTTTATTCACATTTCTTCTATTCACTTGGATTTCTGCTGTTAGAACTGAAAACATTTATTGGGCTCATGTACCTAACCCTCCTCTTCTTCGCCCTTATACTTGGAAGGAGCCTACTACTGTGATTCCTACATCTCCTGTAAATGTTTTGTCACCTCCTTATGGGACAGGTCAGCCGGATTTTCCTGATAAAGAAGGAATGGTTTTCAATTATACTCAATTTATCACTACTGATATTATGTGCTTTGAAGTTCCTCCTTGCTATCCTATAAAACAACACCATTGGGTTGTTCTGGAAGGTGGATGGAATCATAGTCATCCAGATGTGCTACGTTTTTCTGCCCAGTCAATAGGTTCTGATTGGACTCAATATGAGACTACAGCTGCTCCATCTCTCCCAGAGTGTAAAATTTTTTCCTATGCTCAGATTTCGGAACAACAATCTTTGATATGGCAAGATTGTAAAGGGTTAATTGGAAAAGTTTACAGGTCCTGAAATCATGCTTGGATTGGGGTCCTTTAGGAAATTGGTTACAAGAGTGTACAAATTCTAAAAAATCTGTCTCTGAGTATAAGCTTTCCAATCATGTTCCTGTGACAGAGACATTTGATACTACTAAGGATATAATTTGGGTAGATGGGGGAATAGCTAACCCTCAACCTCAATTAAAAATGGACATACCTTATACCCTCCTCAAGTGCATTTCAAAATTGCTAGACTTACGTCTTTGCTACTAAACATACTCCCACTGCTGTTATATGGCAGGGTGGTCCATTATTATGGATACACATGCCTGTCTCCCCTGCTAAAGTCCTACTTCCATACTTTGAAGCTATATCTACTTTGATTCAACTCATCAGATCTGAATTTACTAAGTATTTTTGACAGGAACCTGCTAAAATCATAGTTCCTTTTAGTAAATCTCAGGTTGATTGGTTGTTTCAAACTTCTGATGCCTGGGAAATTGCCCTAGCTAATTCTTCAGGTTCTATTGATAATCATTATCCTAAGCATAAGCTTCTGCAGTTTTGTCAAACCACTGATCTCATATTTCCTAAAGTTACAAGCTCTGTTCCCTTGCCACATGCCTTATTGATTTTCACAAATGGCTCTTCCAATGGAAGTGCCTCCTATGTTGCTGATGGGAATACCATAGTGGATCGTACCTCTCAGTCCTCAGCCCAGGTTGCTAAACTTCATGCTGTTGCTTTAGTTTTCCAAATATTTCCTGCACAAGAGTTTAACCTTTATACTGATAGTTTTTATGTATTTTCTGCCTTATGTGTATTAGAAACTGTTCCTGTTATAATAACTTCTAATAGTATGGTACATAAATTATTTTCTCAAATACAGTCTTCTATTAGTGCAAATATTAGTGCAAATACCTGGACCCCTCACTCAAGGAAATGATTTGGCGAGCTTCATACTAAACTTGTAGCTTTTTCTGATGTGGAGCTTGCTCGGCAAGGCCATGCTAAACATCATCAAAATACCAATAGTTTGCAGCTGCACTTTGGTATTTCGGGGGCAGCTGCTCGAGATATCGTTCGCCGCTGTCCTCAATGTCCCACAAGTCCCACAGGTAGGGATTAACCCTCATGGACTTATTCCTAATCAATTGTGGCAGATGGATGTTACTCACATTCCTGAATTTGGACAATTAAAATATGTTCATGTTGCTATAGACACATTTTCTGGTTTTCTCTTTGCTTCTACTCTTACTGGTACAAATATTAAACATGTCATTGCTCACTACATTCGTTGCTTTTCAGCATTTAAAACTTCCAACATCTTAAAACCTGCCACTGGTTCTGGGTATCCTTCTCGCTCCTTTCATGCTTCTGCGTACAATTTGCTATCCAACATAAAACAGGACTTCCTTAATCCACAAGGTCAGGGTAATGGCCAGGTCCAGTCCTCCCTTGGGGTAGAGGGCGTGTTTCTGTTTTTTCCACAGGATGCTGACGGTGCTCGTTGGTTGCTAGAATGCCTCATTCGGTTTGCTGAATCTCTGGATTCTACGCCGCCTGTGTCATCGTGTTGCACCGCCTGATGTCGCCAACCTCCTCTTCTTCTTTACCTGGACTGTTTCCACTGCATGGTGCCCACCGTTCTGCTTCTCTGGACTTTGGCTATGATGCCTCCATACCCTCCTTGACTGATGGCCTTTCCACATGATTTGTGCACCATTGTTCCAATCATTCCTGTATTGAGCCTCCCTTTCTGTGCCCCGTGTATGCCCTTGGGTTGTTGTTTCCTTCTTTTCCCCAACTCCCCGTTGGTGTCCTTTTGTTTTACACTTAGAGGGGGGAATTAGGCCTATGGCAGTCTAAACCTGTAGTGCCCACATACCAACTAGAGAGATACTAGAGCAGATACTGGAGCAGCTGCAACAACCAGTTAGAACCAGAGAAATTCAATTTTCCATCTCGGTGGCACTGTGCAACAGTGTTCTTTCCCATTTCTTCCCCAAGGCCGTGGCCTAGTGATGGGAGCCTTCAGAGGCTGGTTAGCCAGTAATGGGTAAGATCTCAGAGGAAAGCGGGCCACCGGCCGCCCCCAACAACTTTCACTCTGGTAGAGGACGACCTAAGACAGGCACAGTCTTTCCATCCCAGTCTTGGCATACACTTCATTTTCATTTAAAACAATATAAAAAGAAAGGGGGAAATGTCGGGAGCTATGCTTGCCATAAACATTGGAAATTAGAAGAGTGCCACTTTAAGAACTTCTGAGCTCTCCACTTCAGCAGTGCAAGCTGACAGGCAGTACCTGCATGATAAATCAGGGCTTCTAGAAAGTTAGTTTTGGTTCAGTCTGCGGGCACTGGTACATGCTGTATCCATAGTTACTCTTTTGTTTCTGTTAGGAAAATCTCCTTGGTGACCCCAACTCTGAGTCCTATATAAGATCTGTAATCCCCACAACAGGGGCAGCCATCTTGTAATCACTCCCCTACCTGTAACTGTATTTCCTTGAATAAATCCCTCATACAACTTCAGACTTTTGTCTGAGCTTCTTTCTTGTTGAAGACCCAAGCCTGGTGGGCTTGGGGGGGGCGTTCAACATTTTTCTCTCTATGAGAGACCTGAGTGACTCTATCTTGGATAAAACCTCCATGGGACTGACCCAGCCCTGAGCCCTGTCCAAGAAAAACCACAATACTTAAAACGGAGAAAAAACAACTCCCCTGCCAATGGTCAGTTAACCAGGGACAGGCAAGTACTAAAAGTCCAGATATCTTTTCAGATTTCCTGAAGCCAACTGTTTATGGTTTGGCACTGGGCTGCAACCAATCAGATGTTTGCCAGGCTGAAGACCCCCTACTGCCCTACTTGCTAAACTTGCTAAAATAAACCTATAAAAACCTCTGTCTACCAAAGCAAGGGGTCTCACTTCTGAGATCTGCTAGGTCGGTGACAGAGTAGGCCCAAGCTTGAGCTTGTAAGAATGAAAACCCTTGTATGTTTACATTGGTTGGCTCCTTAGCATTCTTTGGGGTCTCGTGAACTGGGCACAACATCTTGGGGGCTCGTCCGGGTCTCCAGCCCCCCCCAGGACCCCCAAACCAGAGGGTTCCTGGCCAGCCAGTAAATGTGTTTGTTTCTAGTTGTGAGTGTCTGTGTCTGTCCTAGCTTTTGTTCTGAGCCTTGAGGCAAATTTGTAAACAGTGTGGTCAGGAGCGGTTGGAGCAGATGTGCTGGATGACCATGACCACAGACCCCGGCAGAAGGGATGGAGGGCCCCAGACTCTGTTGATTTCTGTGAAAGGACAAGGTGGGTTGCTCCGGCAGCATGGCAGTTTGCAGCTGTCCTACTTTCAGTTTTTCTTCTGCGTGAGTGGGGGAATTTGCTACGTGGCCTTCTGTGTGTCTTCCTGGCTCTCTGTTTTGTCTTTGATTATCTATTTCTCTGTGACTGAGATGGACACAATGGGAGAGACTCCCTCTACATCCCTGGACCTGGTTCTTGCACATTTTGGAGAGGTTAAGACTTGAGCCCATAACCTCTCCGTTGTTGTCAGGAAGAATAAACTAACTACTTTCTGCAGGTCTGAATGGCCCACTTTCAACGTGGGATGGCCCTCGGAGGGGACCTTTGATCCCACTGTCATTAACACGGTTGAGAAAATTATTCTTCAACCACGTGTGGGACACTTAGATCAAATATCATTAATAATGGTCTGGGGAGATTTAGTTAATAACCCCCCTCCTTGGGTCAAGTCTTTCTTCCTTTACAGAAAACTGAGGTGCTGACAGCTGCAGAAGAAACCAGAAAGCACCTAAGCCTGAAACAAAACAATCAGTACCATCACAGTACCCTGTCTTACAGGGCAGCACAGAAGAAGATTTAATTTTTCTTCCCCCTCCTTATCCACCTCCTCCACAGGAGGTACCCCTCCAGAACCAGCACCCCTGGTACCAGATTCTTCACAGGCACAGGGGGGACCGGCTCAGAGGACTAGGAGTAGAAGGGCAGCAACACCAGAGGGTCCAGACTCTACTGTTCTACCCCTCAGAGTCGCTGGCCCCGCAGATGGAGCTGACAACCAGCCTGATAACTATTGGCCATTCGCCACTAGTGACCTTTACACCTGGAGAACCCAGAATGCTCCCTTTTCTAAAAATCCTAAGGAGCTTATTAATTAGAAACTGTCTTATTCACACGCCAATCCACTTGGGATGATTGTCATCAATTATTACAGGTCCCGTTTACCATAGAGGAAAGGGAACATATTCAAACAGAAGCCAGGAAATTAATTCCTGGCTATACTGGTGTCCCTACTACTGACCCAACACTGATTGATGCTGCCTATCCACTGACCCGGCCTGATTGGGATTATAATACTGCAGAAGGTAAGGGGAGGCTTCTGGTTTGCCGCCAGGCTCTGTTGGCAGGTCTCAAAGCAGCTGCTCATAGGCCAACTAATTTGGCAAAGGTATATGGTATTAGTCAGAAACTAAATAAAAGCCCAGCTGCATTCTTGGAGTGAATAATGGATGCCTTCCGCAGGTACACTCCATTAGACCTGGAGGCCAAAGATAATTTAGCAGCAATGGCCATGGCTTTTGTTAACCAGTCAGCTCTGGATATAAAAAAGCTCCAAAGAGTAGAGAGACTGGGTAAGAAGAGCTTAAGAAATTTAATAACTGTGGCTGAAAAAGTGTACAATAATAGAGATAGTGCAGAGAAAAAAAAAAACAAAGGCAGAAAGGAGGCAGAACAAGGACCTGGCAAGGATCCTGCTGGCTGCCACTGCGGATCCAGAGGACCCACGGTGGCATCTGAGACAGACAGTGTCAGGGAAAAGGAGTCTCTTGCAGTATGTGAATGACCTACTTGTGGCAGGAGACAGCCAAGAGGCTTGCATGGATGGCACAGAACACCTGCTGCAGACGTTAGGAAGCCTGGGCTATCGGGCCTCTGCTAAAAAGGCCCAACTATGCAAACAGCAGGTCCAATACTTGGATTGTATACTCAAAGAAGCACTACTGGTAAAAGATGCTGACAAACTGACTTTGGGCCAGAACTTGACCATACATACAATTAAAGGAGTTTCAAAGCAGCCCCCGGACAGATGGAGCCCGTATAACCCATTATCAGGCATTACTTCTTCATTCTGCTAGAATCACCTTCCAGGCACCAGTTGCCCTGAATCCAGCCACGCTCTTGCCGGAGCCACACTTGGATGCCCCCCTGCATGACTGTGCCAGAATCCTGGCCCATGTCCACAGTACCCAATCAGATTTGAGAGATACCCCATTATCAGAATCACCTTCCAGGTACCAGTTGCCCTGAATCCAGCCACACTCTTGCCAGGTGTGCAGGGGCGGCTGTAGTATCATTAACCAGCATCATTTGGGCAGAGCCTCTGCCCACTGGCACTTCGGCCCAAAAGGCTGAACTTATTACCCTAGCTAAAACACTGGTATTGGAAAAGGACAAAAAGCTTAATGTGTATATGGACAGCCGATATGCCTTTGCCACCGCACACATTCATGGGGCAATATATCGAAAACGGGGCTTATTAACAGCAGAAGAAAAGACTGTCAAAAATTAAAAAAAAAAAATCCTAACATTGCTAAAGTCTCTCTGGCTGCCATAAAAATTGACAATTATCCACTGCTCAAGTCATCAAAAAGGGGACAATCTGATTTCCCCAGGAAACAATCAAGCAGATCAGGTGGCTAAACAAGCTGCCCTCCAAATTAACCCAATCTTGGTCACCACACTAGTTGACCCAGGTGACCCAAACCTCCCCAAAAAGCCCAAATACACCGGGGAAGACCTAAAATGGATAAAGGGACTGCCAAGGACCCAATGCCTAAAAGGATGGTAAAAGCAGAAGAAAAGCTGATCCTCCCCAAAAAATTAAAAAACAAATGTTGACAAAAATACACCATTCTTCCCATATGGACATCAAGAGGATGCAGGACTTAATTCGACATGCCAAAGTAAAACTCAAGGACACTAATTTAAAGATTAAAGACATTGTCAATGGCTGTAAAGCTTGCCAACTCACTAATGCGGTGCCAAATATTAAAAACCCAGGAATCAGACTTCAAGGGAAAAAAACCTGGAGCCTATTTAAAAATTGATTTCACTGAGGTAAAACCTGGAAGGTACGGATATCGTTATTTGCTAGTCTTTGTAGATACTTTTTCAAGATGGACTGAAGCCTTCCCTACTAAACATAAAATGGCTCAAATGGTGCCAAAGAAACTGTTAAAAGACATCCTCCCCAGGTATGGCTTTCCACAGATAATAGGGTCAAATAATGGACCGGCTTTTGTGTCCAAGGTAAGTCAGAGTCTGGCCACAGTTCTGAAAATTAATTAAAAACTACACTGTGCTTAAAGACCCCAGAGTTCAGGACAGGTAAAATAAAATAAATAAAACTCTAAAAGAGACCTTAACTAAACTGACCTTAGAGACTGGCAGTGACTGGGTGGCTCTCCTTCCATTTGCACTCTATCAAGTGTGTAACTCCCCTTACCAGATGGGATTAATCCCCTTTGAGATCATGTTTGGAGTGCCCCTTCCATTATCCCTAACCTCCTTGGCAAAAATGGTTCTGCAGAACAGGAGAGGCTTAGACCTGTTGTTCTTGCAGCAGGGAGGCCTCTGTGCTGCCCTTAAAAAAAAAAGAGAGTATTGTTTTTATGTAGATCACTCTGGGGTCGTCAAAAAATTCCCGGCCAAGGTTAAAAAAAGTCTGGCTTGAAGAGAAAACAAATATAGGACTAAACAAGGATGGTTTAAATCCTGGTTCAATAGCTCCCCTTGGTTGACCACTTTAATTTCAACCTTACTTGGACCCCTCCTAATTCTGATTAATGCTCTTGACTTTTGGGCCTTACATTTTAAATAAATTGGTAGCTTTTTTTTTTTTTAAAAAAAAAAGGGAGTTATACAGCTAATGGTAATGCAAACCCACTATCAGTCCCTCCAGAGTCTGAGTCATAAAAAATATGAGATAAAGGAGTGCCCATGATTGAGCCCCCAAGGTACTAGTCAAAGGGAGGAATGAGAGACCTGAGTGACTCTATCTTGGTTTATAAAACCTCCATGGGACTGACCCAGCCCTGAGCCCTATCCAAGAAAAATCACAATACTTAAAATGGATAGAAAACAACTCCCCCACCAATGGTCAATTAACTAGGGGCAGGAAAGTACGAAAAGTCCAGATGTCTTTTCAGATTTCCTGAAGCCAGCAGTTTACGGTTTGGCACTGAGCTGCAACCAATCAGATGTTTGCTAGGCTGAAGACCCCTTACTCCCCTACTTGCTAAGCTTGCTAAAATAAACCTATAAAAGCCTCTGTCTCCCAAAGCAAGGGGTCTCACTTCTGAGATCCACTAGGTCAGTGACAGTGGGCCCAAGCTTGAGCTTGTAACAATAAAAACCCTTGTATGTTTACATCAGTCAGCTCCTTAGCGGTCTTTGGGGTCTTGCAAACTGGGCACAACATCTACACTGCACATTTTGTATTTCTGTCCC